CATATAGGCCAAATTTAACATGATCACTAGAGATCCTATTTCTAATGGAAGGCTTGGGCATGAAACTTTTACAGTGATCACAGAATCACTGACCCGCAGGCAATTATATAAACATAGATCAAACACTGCAAGTACATCCTTACTATCTCACTAAGTCTCTTTCATTCTCTTATCTCTTATCAGCAGAGGGTGAGGGAGGATGGGAGAAGGGTTATTTTACAATTCTATACATACAAGAAGATTCCCCCCCCTCCCCAATTTGAGTCCTGTCAAGTTGTAAAATAACAGACCTTGTTAAACAAATTAAGCCTGGTAAAATTCCACTGATTTTTTAAATCATTGCTAAGGCTTATATAGTATTTTGGAATGGTGGGCTTCTGCATAAGCTTCACTGTTTACCTATACAGATAGAACTGTATATATACCAAAAGACTAAAACTTATCATAATGCTCATCTGCAAAAATGGAATTGAGATTTATCTGCTAACTAATGCCCAATCAGTTTCTAAAGCAAATAGTAAATAAACTTTATGTAAAAAACTTTTAAAATAAATTGTAAGATTGGATCAATTCAGAGTGTATTTTGGTGGGTGAGCAGACAAATTTTACTGCTGGATACTTTGCTTTGGCCACAATCTTATACACCATTGCACACTGCATTCATTGACTTTAGATTTGCACTTGATTTCATTTCAATGTACTTCGCTGTAGGAAAGATATAAGAACACAGATGGACATTATGATTTTCTCTGAAAACTTCTGATGTTTTTTCTAAGCTGCCTTGGAATGTTATGAATCCTAAAAAATGTGGGATCTAAATCACCATCATTTGAGAGGCAAAAAACAAAATTGTTCTGCAGGAACAATTCCAAGAAAATAGCCCAGAGGTCTATGGGGTCAAGCTGAAATACCTCTTGCATTTTACTAACCTATTCCTATATGAAGAAAACAGGGAATTTCAGTGACTGGGATAGGTAGGTTGGAAGGAATTATCACACTGAATTATCACCAGCGGTTGATAATATTTGTTTTTTTCATAATATTTGTTTTAGAGCAGCATTACATGTAGTCCTCAACATACAACCACAATTGGCATGGGAACTTTCATAATTATGCAATGTGGTAATTAAGTAAGTCAAGCCCAATTTTATAATTTTTTGCCATGGTCATTAAGTGAATTTGACTTTGCTTGTCAGAAGCCCATTAGGAAGGTCACAAATGCAGATCACATGACCCTGAAGATCACATGACCTATCAAATTGTCAAGCACACCCATTTTGATCATGTGACCATGGAGACACTGTAATGGTTGTAAGCACAAGGACTGTTGTAAGCCACTTTTTTCAATGTCATTATAAATTTGAATGGCCTTTAAACCTGAACATTTTATGGCCCCTGGGCTACAGCTAGTCCTTTGGCCGTGCTTGTCTAGCCCCTGTAAGATCAATTGGAAATTAGAAATCAAATTTAAATAAGTGTATATCATGCACACAGTACAACTCCACTTCTTTTATTTTGCAGGCAACTTTTTTTTTCAATTTACATAGATGTGTGCATATCTGTGCCTATGCACCTCCACACCCCTATTGGTTCAGACCTCTACAACAGCCCCAGTTAATTGTATAGTCCCTTGGGAAAATTAACTGCCCACCCTGCATTAAATGAATGGTCATAAATTGAGGACTAAGAAATTCTGTAGTTATAAAATTATTGCAAACTTTGCAGAAAAAAAAGGAGGAGAGGGGAAAGAGGTAGATAGAACGATGTGGTAAATTAATGTGTGTGTGTGTCTGAATTAATGTGGAAAGAGGAGAACGAAAAACTGAGACGATGGGAACAACATCAGTGAATATGCCATATACTGTCAGGACTGGAGGATGGATGGGCATGTCAAGACTTGCAACTTCCTATGGCAGTTAATACTGATCTAATGAGTGATTGCTGGAATATATACAGTAGTAATACGGTAGAAATGAAAATGGGGCCAAGTTATTTTCTGAGATGATGCAACTGAAGCCATGACAGAATGATGGGCAGATGGCATTCAAAGAAATTAACAAAATAAAATACTAGAAAAATATATTAAAAACACAACTATAAAAAGGGTAGTATCCTGCATCAACCATTAGATGGTTACCCTAAAGTAGTTAATACCTCAAGGACTGGCTCAGCAAAATATTTTGGCTTACAGGTTGAAGAGCAACCAAGTGGGAGTTAACTTGGCCTTTCTAGGTACTACCAGGTATTCATCTGGCTAGCGTCCTTAGTCTGGTCAGCTTCAGAACATTAATTTGCTGGTTTTAAGCGCACGTGCAAACTTTTTATCCCCTGCTTGGGGATAAAAAATAGCTTCTAAAGCACAGCTGATCTTTGGTGAGAGAAACCATGAGAAAAGCAGGCGAAGCTCAGAAGATCACTTCATTCGCTTCTAAAAGCACAGATCACTTCTAAAAGCACAGCTGAGAGGGAGCAGCAATGAGAAAAGCAGGCAAAGCACAGAGATTGCTTCACTCGCCAGTGCCTTGTTAGGGCTGAAAAAAAGCTTCTAAAGCACACCTGAGAGTCAGAGCGAGCAGGCAAAGCGTGGAAGATCGCTTCACTCGCTAGCGCCTCGTTAGGGCTGGAAAAAAGCTTCGAAAAAGCTACATTCGGAGTATAAGTTGCACCCAAATTTTCAGCCTCTTTTAGGGGGGGAAAGTGCGTCTTATACTCTGAAAAATACAGTAACTGGCAAATAGTGTTTGTATTTGCATTCATTGGAGGGGAAGTGATTACAAGAGAGTAAGCAGGCACACAATAGGGTCTACACATAGAAAGGAATACCAGCTGGCCATGTAGCTTTAAAACAGAGTAGAAGATATCCAAACAGCAACCCTGAGTCTTCAGGGATATGTAATTCTATCCTGCACAGGATAAATCCATGTACATTGATCTGTCTTTCAATTATCAGAAATACATATGTTTATCTAAATTAAGCAATTTGTTTATTCCCATTGACTGTATCACCCTAAATCAGATTTTAAATTTGAACAACTTCCTTGGATTTGTATACAGCTTATAAATACATTTATCATATGTTGGCTTCCTTGGATGTATCATCTGCTCGAAAGGACAATGCTCTTCAAATAAATATGATCCCACCTCATCCCATCCTGCAACTCACTGGGAAAAATAGAGAGAAAGAAATATAAATCAAACAAAAATCTAGTGCCGCATTGACTCTCCCCATATTTTCAAAATAGGATTGCTAATCTCAAAATAATAAAAACCTTCATTCTTCATTCCAATTGCTCAATAAATATGTACTCTGTGGCTTTGTCTATGTGTGAATGCACTTGCCAAAAGCCAGAAAAAGGCCAAGCTCAGGAGGGAAAAAAATTAAATTAATTGAATTAATATTCAGTATTAATTAAAATCAATTGTCTGTAAAACTAGGTAACTTATTTATTTAATCCTCATCTGATTATATAAGCCATTACTTCATTGACATAGATAGAAACACTTCCAGAATAGAAACAGGAAAAAAAAAAAACCTACAGTACAATAGAAATAGAATAGCAGGAAGGGGTATGTACATTAGAAAAAAATGGAAAAGAGTTACAAATCTTGATGAAATTGGCAAGTGCATGAGGTAATTGGATAAGGGAGCAAATGAGAGAAGGAAGCCCCATTTACCCCATTCTTAATTTTTTTAAAAAAAATGTTTAAACATCAGTCAAACAACCTCTCCAATCTAATCTGGTAGGTTCTATTCAGGAGCTAAAAGTCCTCTCTGCAAAAATCCAAGCAGGATTTTCAGTTCCTGAGCAAAGAGACACTCACAATAAATAAGTCCTGCATTGGCTCCCTCACCTACTTGAGGCACCCTGTGTCCTTCGCCTTCCCACATTGCCTCTCTGCTAGTATTTTGGCTCCCTCTCATATCCAGGACCTAGATGAAAGCGCTACCAGCCAAAGGAGTTCAGCTCCCTGTCATGCATGGAAGGGAATTCCTTTGGTGGAGCTTTAGCTGAAAAAGCTAAAAGAGCCCCCAGAAATGAGAGAGTACCCTTTATAGGTGGCAGCAACTAGCAATCTTCCCTGATGGCTTTACCATTCTGGAGAGCCAGCAGACAAGATTGCAAATTGTGATCACATGACCACAGGACACTTGGCAACCAGTCATAAGTGCGAACAGGTTACCAAGTGCCCAAATCGTGATCACATGACTGCAAGACATTTTGTGATGGTCAGAAGTGCTTTATAGGCTGTAAAGCACCATTTCAAAGGCCATCATAATTCTAAACCATTGTTATATGAAGATTTAGGACTATCTGTGGTGAAAAAAGGTTAGATCTCATTGTTATATGCTACTCCCACTATGATAGTATGGTATAGGCCAACCCATTCTACTGGGCTGTAGCTCGTTTATTTAAATTCACTCAAAATTTTATTTGTTATTTAGAATTACTTTATGCCCTGCTAAATGACTGGCACATCTAAACAGGAATAGCACCATGGTTACTATGGATATCCTGAAATTCTGATTTCCAAATCCAAGATGTCACTCCAAAGAATAAGCTGGGAAAATCCCAGCAATATCCTGGAAAACTGCATTGTAGGAAAGGGATTTTGGATCCTCATTCCGTCCCTTCATATATGAACATTCAAGTCAGAAAGATAGCAAGTTGATATACACATCTGGGTTTAGAATCATGAATACAGCTGCTCCCTCAAGTCTTACCTATTACTGTAGGAAGAATTTAGGTGAGCCAAACTGATATCCCTGTGTCATGCATATCAAATCAGAATCACGATTATTCACTGACTGGGCATTCAGCAAAATATTGTAATAGCTAATTTGTTCAACTGTTTTATTTACAAAAGTAAAACAGATACAGGACAACTCTAGTTAACGTAAGCTACAGAAGTCAGGCAATCATCAGTGCAGTTTTGGGAGGGGGGATTGAGGATGAGAATCTTTATTCAACAATTTGAATTTATTAATTTAAGTTCCTTACCAGTCAATTTCTTCATAGGCTGCAGTCGAACACTGATAGATTGATGTGTTAGTAATGGGGAAGATGGGAGAGAGCGGGACATGCCTTCCATAATTCGAATGTGCTGCATACCTTCAGGCACTGTGAGTGTTGGGATAGCATACTCTGGTTCAAAAGCACAATCGTTCTCTGCACAACTGCCACCTAAGACAAATAATTTCAAAAAGTGTTATTAATATAATAATGAACAGGCAATATCTAGGGGACTTTACATTTTACACTAAATTAGGAAAAATCTTTTAAGAAGCTAAGTTCTTTTCCAATCTGTTAAGAAATCTTACTAATTCAACAAACAAAGCTTTACAATTGTATTCTATATAGGAAATCAAGTTTAATTATTGTTTTCTTGAGGACTGTGTTCAGCATAAAAAGAACTCCCTATTTGCCTGTAACTGTAGTTCTTCAAATGCTTATCATATACATACGACATACAGTCAGGTCCAGAAATATTGGGACATCGACACAATTCTAACATCTTTGGCTCTATACACCACCACAATGGAGTTGGAATGAAACAAACACAATGTGCTTTAACTGCAGACTGTCAGCTTTAATTTAAGGGTATGTACATCCAACTCAGGTGAACGGTGTAGGACTTACAGCAGTTTGCATATGTGCCTCCTACTTGTTAAGGGACCAAAAGTAATGGGACAGAATAATAATCATAAATCAAACTTTCCCTTCTTAATACTTGGTTACAAATCCTTTGCAGTCAATCACAGCCTGAAGTCTGGAACGCATAGACATCACCAGACGCTGGGTTTCATCCCTGGTGATGCTCTGCCAGGCCTCTACTGCAACTGTCTTCAGTTCCTGCTTGTTCTTGGGGCATTTTCCCTTCAGTTTTGTCTTCAGCAAGTGAAATGCATGCTCAATGGGATTCAGGTCAGGTGATTGACTTGGCCATTGCATAACATTCCACTTCTGTCCCTTCAAAAACTCTTTGGTTGCTTTTGCAGTATGCTTTGGGTCACTGTCCATCTGCACTGTGAAGCGCCGTCCAATGAGTTCTGCAGCATTTGGCTGAATGTGAGCAGATAATATTGCCCAAAACACTTCAGAATTCATCCTGCTGCTTTTGTCAGCAGTCACATCATCAATAAATACAAGAGAACCAGTTCCATTGGCAGCCATACATGCCCATGCCGTGACACTACCACCACCATGCTTCACTGATGAGATGGTATGCTTAGAATCATGAGCAATTCCTTTCCTTCTCCATCCTCTTCTCTTCCCATCACTCTGGTACAAGTTGATCTTGGTCTCATCTGTCCATAGGATCTTGTTCCAGAACTGTGAAGGCTTTGTTAGATGTTGTTTGGCCTTCCTGTTTTTGAGGCTCACCAATGGTTTACATCTTGTGGTGAACCCTCTGTATTTATTCTGGTGAAGTCTTCTCTTGATTGTTGACTTTGACACACATACACCTACCTCCTGGAGAGTGTTCTTGATCTGGCCAACTGTTGTGAAGGGTGTTTTCTTCACCAGGGAAAGAATTCTTCGGTCATCCACCACACTTGTTTTCCATGGTCTCCCGGGTCTTTTGGTGTTGCTGAGCTCACCGGTGCATTCCTTCTTTTTGAGAATGTTTCAAACAGTTGTTTTGGCCACGCCTAATGTTCTTGCTATCTCTCTGATGGGTTTGCTTTGTTTCTTCAGCCTAATGATGGCTTGCTTCACTGATAGTGACAGCTCTTTGGATCTCATCTTGAGAGTTGACAGCAACAGATTCCAAATGCAAATAGCACACTTGAAATGAACTCTGGGCCTTTTATCTGCACATTGTAATTGGGGTAATGAGGGAATATCACACACCTGGCCATGGAACAGCTGAGAAGCCAATTGTCCCATTACTTTTGGTCCCTTAACAAGTGGGAGGCACATATACAAACTGCTGTAAGTCCTACACCGTTCACCTGAGTTGGATGTACATACCCTCAAATTAAAGCTGACAGTCTGCAGTTAATGCACATTGTGTTTGTTTCATTCCAACTCCATTGTGGTGGTGTATAAATCCAAAGATGTTAGAATTGTGTCGATGTCCCAATATTTCTGGACCTGACTGTATATGGGTTCTATAACTACAGAATAGCAAATTCAAAATACTCCAGAACAAAGATTTTTGACAGCTTCCCTCCTCATTTCATAGCATTATATGTGAATGAGACTCCTATCTGATCTCCGAGTTTCAATTATCACCACAAATAAACCATGATACTGTTTCAAACTCTATTCAGAGAAACAAGAGGTTGTGTCAAGTTGTGCTGACCACCTGAACTACTACTAATTATTAAAGGTAAGAAACCAGTTCTTCTGTCTGTTACATATATGGGTGATCAGCACAAATTGCACTGGGTGGCAGACTTATATGATAATGGGAAAATACTGAGGAAAGAAAAACATGCCAACATTGCCTCCTACCAAAACCAATGGTTCAGATAACATCTTATAAGTGTATAAAATTGAGATGAGGTAACCATTAGACAGATCTCAGAAAAGAAAATATTCCTCAAAAAAATATTCTGAAAGTTTCTCCACACATGTCAAATGGCAACAAAGTGCATGGCCAAATAATAACACTCTAATGGTGGTTTGACCAACAGGAAAACCACTGTGGGATAACTGATTTATTCTCAACCTGTTTTGAAAAATGTGAAATGGCTTAGTTAGTCAGGCTTTGAGACAATGAAAGAAAGAAGATATTACTTCACAGAATTAATTTCAAGAAAACACCAATACAGTAAAGAGATGCCAATGAAACTCTGAAACTGCGTTTAGAAAAAAAAGCCCTAAATAGTTCTTTGCCCTTAAGAAATATCAAAGCTCATCAGATTAAAAAGAATAAAATAACATGTCCTGAGCAAATGCAACAGAGATACAGGTACTTCTCAATAACCCTAACTGGGAGCAGAATTTCAATTGCTAAGAGATACGGTCATCCTGTGACTGCACCACTTTGCTATGGCAATTTTGGTAACCCTGGTTGTTATCATTAGGCCAAGACTGCAGCATTGTTTGGCAAGGACTTCACGTTTCTTCTGTCCAGCCATGCTCACCTCCACTTGAATTTCCTCCACCCACCATGTTCCCCATCTCTGCCCTTTTGGCCACCTTGCACACCCCCTCCCCTGCTGCCCTATGCTCCACTGACCCTGCCACCTGTACTCTGCCACCCCTGCTGTCTCCATCATCCTGCACTCTGCCACTCCCACTGCCTCACTCAAGCTCCTGCTAAACCTTGACCATCTTCTTCCTCTCATGGCTGATGCCAAGGATACAGGGCAGAGTGCAGGGGGGCAGGGCAGTGGAAGTATAGGACAGAACACAAGGCAGCCAGGCAGCAGAGTGCAGGGGAAAGGATATAGGAGCACAGGGTGGCAAAGTGCAGGGAGGAGAAGAAATGGGGGAAATAGGAGATTGGGCGGGGGGGAGGGAGAATTTGAAGGATATTCTGTACTTGTAAATATGGGCAAGCTGCCAAGCATCCAAATCTTGATTACATGACCATAGGGAAGTTGGAATAGCTGTAATTTTGTGGACCAGCCATAACTCCCATTCATTCAGTGCTGTTGTAATTTTAAACGAATTTATTTTTATTTTATTTTTATTTTATTTCGAATTTATATACCGCACTTTCTCCCAAGGGACTCAGGGCGGTGTACAGCCAGATAAAAACATACAATACAAACATTAAAAACAATTAAAAGAATATATATTAATTTGGCCCCAGTTTAAAATGACAAACCAATTAAAAATTAAAAATTTAAAAATATGTTAAGCCAGCCCGGCTTGATGAAAAAAGAAAGTTTTAAGGGCACGGCGGAAGGCACTGAGGTCTTGGATTCTCCTTATCTCTGGGGGCAGCTGGTTCCATAGGGTAGATGCCCCCACAGAGAAGGCCCTCCCCCTGAGGGTCACCAGCCTACATTGTTTGGCTGATGGCACCCCGAGGAGGCCCTCTCTGTGGGAGCGCACGGGTCGATGGGAGGTTGTCGGTAGCAGCAGGCGGTCTCAAAGATAACTAGGTCCTATGCCATGGAGCGCTTTAAAGGTGGTAACCAACACCTTGAAGCGCACCCGGAAGACCACTGAGAGCCAGTGCAGCTTGCGCAGGAGCAGTGTTATGTGGGAGCGCCATGCAGCTCCCGTAATTACCCGCGCGGCCACATTCTGGACCAGTTGGAGCCTCCGGGTGCTCTTCAAGGGGAGCCCCATGTAGAGAGCGTTGCAGTAGTCCAGGCGAGAGGTGACGAGGGCATGAGTGACTGTGCACATGGAATCCCGATCAAGAAAGGGTCGCAAAAGGGCGAATCAGGCGAACCTGACAAAAGGTCCCCCTGGCTACAGCCGTCAGATGTTCCTCCAAGGACAGCTGCATATCCAGGAGGATTCCCAGATTGCGCGCCCTCTCCGAGGGGGCCAAAGACTCGCCCCCAATAATCAGCGATGGAGTCAGCTGACTATATCGGGATGCCGGGAACCATAGCCACTCAGTCTTGGAAGGGTTGAGCTTGAGCCTGTTCCTCCCCATCCAGATCCGCACACGGACACGGATCCAATAAACATGTGGCCGCACTAAGTCTGCCCAAAATCCTGTCCACATCATCAGGGATTACAGAGTCAAACTCTTCCCAGATAACGTTCTCAAGACTATTCCTCGCCACCCTGCCCGAATCTACCCAGTCAGAGTCCAAATCCCCCCGGATCTGAGCGATTTTGTCATACACATATTGTCCGAAATCCTCAGCCCTGCCTTCCAGGGGGTCCTCCCGCGCTCCCGGTTGGAGCAGGGAGCGGGTCACCCTGAACAGGGTGGCCGGACGATTCTTTGATGATGCAATAAGAGCGGAAAAGTAATTAAACTTTGCCGCTTTTATCGCCACTAAGTAGGTCTTAATATGCGACCTTACCAGTGTTTGGTCAGATTCAGCGAGACTGGCCCTCCAACCGCTCTCCAGGCGTCTTTTCCGGCGCTTCATCTCCCTCAGCTCCTCGGTAAACCAAGGAGCCACGAGGGATCGGCACCGGGTCAGAGGCCGCAGAGGCACGACTCGATCCAAGGCCCCACCAGCCGCCCGATCCCAGGCAGCCACCAGGTCCTCGGCCGAGTCATGTGCCAGATCTTCAGGAGGTGGCCCAAGCTC